ACTTAGCACTGAAAGAGTTGGGATTAGACGCTGTTATATTTAGGTATTTATTATGTTGCAAAAGGCAGGTGTAAATTTTTGCAAGTTCATTGCTTACAAATTGATTTTTTTCCAGGTTTCTAATATAACAAATTCTAGCTGTTAAAGGTTGTTGATAAAAATGTACTGCACCACCAGCAAGAAACTTTATTCAGGAATTTCTAAATGAAAATTCACTTTATTATTAATGCCTTAAAAAGCCAGGACCTATATTAGAACGCATGTTGATAAGGGGCTTGCCACAGCAAGATTTATGTGCTGTTCTTTATATCCCAACATACTTAACACTTAGCTTTTTTAAAGCACACATGTCCCCATGGATCCTCTCCCCAGCTCCCGATCCTGGCCCTTCCCTTTCCCCAGAGGTAACCACTGTTCTGAATTACTTTACATGTAAAACATGTAAAAACATTTCTATTGAATATATCCATAGAAAATACACATAGTACTTCCTTGTAAGAATTTTTTATATGTATCACTAGTATATGGCACTTAACTCTGCTTTTTTTCCCCCTGAGGGTATTTAAAATAGTATTTTTTTAAAGAGCGCTACGTGTATGCTGTTGTGTGCAAACGCTGTTGGTTGTCTGGCTGGTTTGGGCTGATGGAGAGTTAGGCTATTCCCCGAGTTTACCATCATAAACGAAGCTTCATTGACGATTGTTCTTCATGCCTGCCCCGTGCATGTATGTGTTTTTCTAGGTTGGATATTGGGGTGTAGAATTGCTGGGTCGTGGTGTCTGTACATTTTGAATTTACTAGATCCTTGCCCTCCAGAATGGTTCTATCAAGTCCCTTCCCAGCTTCTGAGCATATCTGAGGTTCTGCCCACCCCCAGCTAATACTAGGTTGCAGGATTCTCATAATTTCCCCACTCTGTTGGGTTAAAAAGCATGTATCTCATTTGTCTGGTTGTTGACGTCTTGTTTCGACTACTGGTGAGGTTCAACATCGTTTCATGTTTTTAACCATCGGCAGTTCTTACTCAGGCAATTGCCTACTTCCACTCTT